GGGGGGGGGTGCTGGGCGGGGAGATAAGTGCAGCAATGAATGAATGGAAATCCAAAATCTCTGTAAATGCTCATTAAAATTATTAAAAAAATAAAGCTTGAAAAAAAATTAGAACATGTGTATTCAAAGTATGAATGTAGGAAAATTGGAATTTGTAAAACATAACTGACTCAAGCCTGAGATAGTCTAGTATTGATCACTTTGAACCAGACAATCATAGTCTTCTATGCTTGGAATGAAAAAGTTGAGGGAGAATAGTGTTGCATTCATAGTGAAAAAATATTTATCTTTTAAGAGCTATCCTGAAGTACAATGTTGTGGGTGATAGAATGTGCATACTGGGAAGACCTATCTGTTAATAAAACATTTAATGTTCAAATGTATGTACAATGAAAAGATGATGAAAGGCATAATGAAAGACAACAAAAATTGAGGAATTCTATCAACTTTTACCTCTGAAACTGACCAAACAAGCAGTCAAGATAGAGTAATGATAATTGGTGACTGGAATGTAAAACTAAAATTGGTAGTTGGAAATTATGGACTTGGAGAGGAAAATGAAGCTGGATATTGGATGAATGGATTTTTTACATTCAATGACTTATTTATAGCAAATACCTTTTTAAAGAAACACAGATGGCATCTATAAACCTGGACTTCACCAAATAGACTGCACAGGGATCAGATTGACTACATACATCTGTACAAAGAATCGCTAGAGAATCTCAATAACCATCAGTTAAAATCAAGTCAGGTATTGACTGTGGAACAGACTATCAATTACTCATGTGTAAGTCCAAATTGAAGAAAAAGCAAGCCACAAGAACTAACACAGACACAATAGCCTTAGCTCTTGAAATTTAAAATCATCTCAAGAAGGAACACTAAGGGTCTAAGACCAATGAATTGTGGGAATTGGTCCAGTGGTAAGAATCTTTGTTTTCCTGATGCAATCCATACTGAAGGCTGCCTTCCTTGATGTTTTGAAACAAGTGCTTCAAGTCCTCTTCACTTTCAACAAGCAAGGTTGTGTCATCTTCATAAATGCAGGTTATTGATGAGTTTCCCTCCAATCCTGATGCCACATTCCTCTTCATCGAGTCAAGCTTCTTAGATAATTTGCTCAGCATATAGATTGAACCAGCATGAAGATAGAATACATTCCTGATACACTCCTTTTCCAATTCTAAACCATGTAGTGCTTCCCTGCTCCATTCGCACAATAGCCTCCTGATCCAGGTATAGGTTCCTCATGAACACAATCAAGTGCTCTGGGAATCCCATTCTCAATGTCAGCCACAACTTGCCGTGATCCACACAGTCAAATGTCTTTGCATAGTGAATAAAACACAGATAGACATGATATTCCTTACTTGCAGCCAGGATCCATCTGACATCAGCAATGATACATGTAGTGCCATGGCTTCGTCTAAATTCCATTTGGACTTCTGGAAATTCCTTATCTATGCACTATTCCAGCTATTTTTGAATGATCTTTAATAGTATTTTGATTGTATGTGACATCAGTGATATTGTTGGATAATTTTCACATTCAGTTGGATCACCCTTTTTGGGACTAGAAACAAATATGGACCTCTTCCAATCTTTTGGCCAGACAGCTGTCCTCCAAATTTCCTGCCATAGACTGGTGAGCCCATAAAAGGCTACATCTGTTAATTTAGACAAATCAATTGGCATCCCATTGATTCCTGGGGCCTTATTTTTTGCCAATGCCATCAACGCAGCTCCCAGTTTCTTTTCTTTCTTTTTTACTATTGGCTCCTGTTCATATGGACTTCCTGAAATTTTTCAGTGTCAATCAATTCTTTCTGGTATAGTGACTCTGTGTATTCCCTCCATCTTCTTTCAATGCTTTCTTCATCATTCAGTATGTTGCCCATAGCATCTTTCAACATTGCACCATGAAGCTTAAGATTGTTTTTCAAGCTACAACCAGGAGAAGATAACATAGATGAATGGGACCTTCTAAGACTCAAATCCCTATGCACATCCAAAAACTTCTCCAGTAGGGTAA